TATTTGTGGGACACTGCTATGCACAACTGGCTGCCACATTCAATTCACTTTACAATATATTCTGTGAAGCACTTTGAGACATCTCAACGATGTAATAAAGCGCTATATCAAATGCAAGGATTTTTATTATTATTATTACCTCACATATATTTTCCAGCAAAAGCACTAGCCAGTGATCAGGATTAGGAATTCAGGTTGATTTTCCTCATTCCCTCCTTGTCTAAGATTAGTTAGATGAATTATATCACCTGCAACCTCCCCACAATCCTAACTAGGATTATCACCCCAGGGAGCTTCCTGGTTCGTGTACCTCACTTCCACACATGATACTGTATTTACCAATTGAACTATCTAAGGAGTTGAGAAGGAAATTTTGTCAAGGGCTTTAAGCCTTCAAAAGAGGACTTTTATTGCAATTATATTGGGTTCAAACTGGGTATTTTTGTAGGCAAATGTGGCAGCCAATTTGCACGCAGCAATGTCCCACAAACAACCATGAAATTAGTTACCAATTTTACTTGGCGGATTGTTGGCTAAGACAATGGGAGAAAATCCCCTTCCTGGATGTAGTTACTCACTTCAAGCACTTACTGCTAAAAGAGTCTGTCTAATGGGAAATTTGAAACATGACATGAGTCACAAGCGAGCAACAAGAGCAATCACTCTGAGCCTAATGTCTCCCTCTTTCTATTTTGGGGAAATATTATTAACGGAATTTGTCTAATGAATTAAAGTTGTCTGGGGCTGCAATGTGCTGTGTTGTAAATTTATTAATTTGATGCATTGTAATTGTTCATGTACGTCTATTTAATACAACGGCATATCATGTTGAAACATCTCAAACGAAAAGCATTTTATACTATGAGTTACTCAGAAACGCAGTGATTGTTAAAACCATACTTGGTCACATCCTAGCAGTGAACCAGTTACCACATGCACAATCTCCTTGGAAAGTGTCCAACAATGGTTCACAAGATTAATACGTGGGCTGAAGAGTTTTTGCTTTTATTACAACAACAACAAGATTCCATTTATAGAGCACCTTTCATGTCGGGAGGACGTCCCAACTTTATTATTACCAACTTTATCCAGCCAAGAATAGCCCTGAAAGGCAAAATAATTTGAAAGATCTGATCAACAGTGAATACACCCTTTGGAACTGGATAAAAGTATACATTGAATGGTTTGAATGCAAAGCATGCATTCCAACTGACATCTCTTTGATCATGTATGTTCACAGTAAAGAAGAGAGTGCTCAAGGGCGATTTATTGAAGTATTGAAGATAATAAACTAATAAATGTATAGATAAATTGAGCCTCATTAATATGTTTGACATGGTCAGAAAATCTGGAGCTAAGGGGCACGGACACAAACTCAGAAGAGGGAAGATGGTTCAGATTATATTTAGAGAGTAATGAATATATGGCAGACTTTTTGCACATAGCAAAATCCCACTTGTGACTGATCAATTAATCTGGAGGATTGCTAGCTGGGGGACTGGATGGATCTCCATTCTTTTTTTGAACAGTCTTAGGCAATCTTTAAGATCCACCTGAAGAACATTTGGGTTTACAGATTAACCAAACGACAACCAATATCTTTGACAATACAGCACTCCCACAGTGCTCGACTGGAGTGAAAGGTTAATTTAAACTGGAAACACAAATCTTGATGTGGGGCTTGAACCCTTAACCTTCTGCTCAGAGATGAGTTGCCCTGTCAAATGAACCAAACTGAGATAGCTATTAGGAAAAGCTTTTGCACCTTGGCTGAAATTAGCTAACTCATACTTCCTTGCTTTGCATAACTCAGTAGCACATACCACGGGTTGTATTTGCATACTGAACCATCAGAAAGTCTCAAAATAAAAATAACAGCAACATAGGAATATACAAGGACTTTATAATACAATATAAATTTATATTTCTGTAGTGCCTTTCATGTTGGGATGAAGTCCCAAGGACAGACCACTGGATTCATTTGGTCAGTTCCAAAGTCAAAACGTAAACTTGCTATACTTAATTTTTCTATGCTTTCAGTCATCTTTCTCCTCCCCGGCCCACACCCTCGGCTCGAGTGCCCAGTCAGTACTGTTAAGTGCCTTAGAATGTCCTCCCAACATGAACCTGTGCTGTACAAATACAAATTTGTATTGTCTTTTTAATACCCTTTCAAATAAATCTTCACCATTGTTATTTAATTCCTTCTTACATTTGACAAAACCACATTCAAAAAGTTTGTGATGGAGCAAGTGTGCACAGTTTTTATGCTAATAATCCTTGCATTTGATATAGCACCTTAGCACTTCATTGAGATGTCTCAAAGCTCTTGGTAGCTTCATCCTGCTGCCCCGAGTTGCCTACCACCACCGCCATTCCGTTTCGCTCACCCACCCCACCCTTAGCTCCTACCATGGCCTCCATTCTACATTCATTTGTCCCCATCTCTTTTTCCTCCCTCTCATCCACCATCTCCACAATAAAACCCACCACCTGCTGCCTTGACACCCTTCCAACCCAACTGCTGATCACCCAGCTCCCCCTCCTCTGCCCACTGCTGGCAGGCACTATTAGCCAGTCTCTCTCCTTAGGATCAGTCCCACTCCCCTCAAAACCTCCCCCCCACCCCCTCTTAAAAAACCTACCCTTGATCCCTCCAACCTCGGCCACTACTGCCCCATCTCAAACCTGCCCTTCCTTCCCAAAGCTCTGGAACGCATTATTGCCAACCAACTTCGCGCACACCTCTCCCTCCACACCCTACTTGAACACCTCCAGTCTGGTTTCTGCCCTGCCCACAGTACCGAGACAGCGCTTGTGAAAGTCACAAATGATATACTCTCTATCTGTGACCTGGGCGCCCTCTGCCTCCTCGTCCTCCTGGACCTCTCTGCCGTGTTTGACACAGTTGATCACGCCATCCTCCATCATCCACCTCAGTGGGACCGCACTCGCTTGGTTCGAGTCCTACTTTACAAACCGCCAGCACTACATTTCTGCAAGTGCCTTTTCTTCTCGCTTCCACCCGGTCACCTGTGGGATACCCCAAGGCTCCATCCTTGGCCCGCTTCTCTTCCTCATCTATATGCTCCCTCTCGGTGATGTCTCCGCAGACATGGGGTTAACTTCCACATGTATGTGGATGACACTCAACTCTACTTTTCCACTTCCAGCTGCGACCCCCAGTCCCTTGATGTTCTGTCAGCTTGTCTGTCGGACATCAAGAGCTGGATGAGTGCAAATTTCCTGCAGTTAAACGTCAACAAGACGGAAGCCATATTCTTTGGTTCCCGCCGACATTTTCTGCTCCATGGTTCAGACCTCCTCAACATACCTTACCTGTCTTTAAAACTCTCCGAACCTGTGCACAATTTAGCTGTCATATTCGATCCCCAGTTGTCACCTCTCAGCTGGACTACTCTAACGCCTCCTCACCCTCCACTGCCCGCATTCTCACCCGCACCAAACTTCATACCCCGATTATTCCAGTCCTTGCCAAACTCCACTGGCCTTGAAATTCCGTGTTCCTCCATTCATTGGCACCCCCCCTATCTCCCTAACCTCTCTCCCCACAGCAGCATCCGCTGCCTCCGCTCTACTGGGTCCGGCCTCTTCCGTGTCCCCCGAATCCTCCGCTCCACCATCGGCGGCCGTGCCTTCAGCCACTACATCCTGAAACTTTGGAACTCCCTCTGTCAACCCCTTCGCCTCGTCCCCTCCTTCCCCGTCTTCAGTCGTCTCTGAAGACCTTCCTTTTTGACCGCGCCTACGGTCACCTTCCCCCTCTCCCTGGCTCGGCCTCGGGCTCCGCCATTGCTAAGCGCTCTTTAAGTGCAAGTTGTTGTTGTTGTTCACAGGATATGCTGTAAAGTGAATTAAATGTGGCAGCAGGTTGTGCTTAGCAGTGCCCCACAAACAGTTGTGGAGTGAGTGACCAGATTTTTTTCAGGGAAGAGTCCACATCTGCAGTATAGAAAGAACTTCCTCACACACATACACAGACACACACATCATCTAACCCTGATCTGAGTAAAACACCAGCATTCAAACTTCCTACAGACCAGCAGACTCACTCAGTCAATCTGTCACAATAATAATAATAATAATCCTTACATTTGATATACTACCTTTCATGTCTTCTAGACGTCCCAAAGCGCTTCACAGAATATACTGTAAAGTGAATTGACTGTATACTTGTGGGCGAACGCGGCAGCCCATTGCGCACAGCAGCGTCCCACAAACAGTCGTGGATTGAAAATGACCAATTTATTATTGTTTGGTTTTGGAGGGATTATTATTAGGCTCTGTGTGGAGTAAGGAAACTTGCCCAAGGTTTCGCCCTCTGCCTGGAATTGAAACTCAGGTCTCGGAGAGACTCGGGTCTCTCGCTTGCAAAGCGAGTGCTCTAACCACTGAGCGACAGGACTCCAGAAAGCTATTGAGAAGGCTGCCTCCTGTGTGTGTGTGTGTGTGTGTGTGGTTGGGGGGGAGAGGTGTTGTCCTGTCATTCCTCAGAGGAAGCTTTTCCTTCCACAACCCCCCCCCCCCCCCCTGTGGCTGTGTTCCTGGCAATACCTGTGTGTTGCACACACACACACACTCACACACACTCACTGGTGGTGGTGGTGGTGGTTTGGTTACAGTCAGCACAGAGTGGGCGGGTGTGTAGGAGGAGGAGGAGGAGGGGGTTTTGTTGGGAGTTTAGTGCTGCAATTGACAGGTCCTGTCTGAGCTGACAGGCACATCATCCCTCCATCCCTCCCCTCCCCATCCCCTCCAACCCTCTCCCAGTCCAGATCTCCTCCCAGGAATGCACACACACAGTTCCTGGTGAGGATCGCAGCTGTGAATGAAGTGCCCCGAGTGCTCGAAACAGAAAATCACCACCAGGAACAGTTCATCCCCAGGAATCAGGACCCAAATATTATATATCTCTATATATTTTTTTTGCTCCTCTCTTCCAGATCCAATCTTTTTTTTTTGTGTGTGTGTGTGTGTGTGTGTGTGTGTGTGTGTGGTGGTGGTGGTGTTGGGGATATTATTTTTTTTCGATGGGAAAACGATCTCTTCTGCAATCGTAGATGTGAGTCGCAACGCTCAAAAGTTTTATCGTTTGATTGTGCGTTGCGCTGCGTTGGGTTTTTCTTGGGGATGAAATCCTGAGCCCCGAAGTCGCGCAGAAATCGCTTCAGCTCTTCCTTTTCCCTTTTCTTTTCCTTCCCGAGTTTTCACTGAAGCGAATCGAGAGGTGAGTTAGTTGGGAAGGTTTTGCAAAGACGTGTACCGGGGGAGGGGGTGGGGGGGGGGTGGGGTGGGGGGGGGGGGGAGGGGGGTGGGGGGGGAGAGAGGGGGTGGGGGGGAGAGAGGGGGTGGGGGGGAGAGAGGGGGGTGGGGGGGGAGTGGGGTGGGGGAGAGAGAGGGGGTGGGGGGGGAGAGAGGGTCGGAGGGGGGAGAGAGGGGGTGGGGGAGAGAGAGGGGGGTGGGGAGAGAGGGGGTGGGGGGGAGAGGGGGTGGGGGGGGTGGGGAGAGGGGGGGGAGAGGGGGGGAGAGGGGGTGGGGGGGGAGAGAGGGGGTGGGGGGGGTGGGGGGGGGGGTGGGGGTGGGGGGGTGGGGGGGGGGGGGAGAGGGGGTGGGGGGAGTGGGGGGGGAGTGAGGGGTGGGGGGGAGTGAGGGGGTGGGGGAGAGGGGGTGGGGGGGAGGGGGGGGAGTGAGGGGGTGGGGGGGGAGTGAGGGGTGGGGAGAGGGGGTGGGGGGGGAGAGGGGGGGGGGGAGTGAGGGGTGGGGGGGTGGGGGTGGGGGGAGAGAGGGGTGGGGGGGGGTGGGGGGGAGTGAGGGGGGGGGGGGTGGGGTGGGGGGAGAGAGGGGGTGGTGGGGGTGGGGGGGAGAGAGGGGTGGGGGGGGTGGGGGTGGGGGGAGAGAGGGGTGGGGGGGTGGGGGTGGGGGGAGAGGGGGTGGGGGGGAGTGAGGGGGTGGGTGGGGGAGAGATTGTACGATGGGATGAAAACGCGTCTTTTTCGTTCATTGTTATAATGGTTCATTATTGTGTGGTATCGATGCAGAGAACTGTGGAGGTGTGGGGTGGAGGTGTGGGGTGTGGAGGTGTGGGGGGGTGGAGGTGGGGGAGTGGGGGGTGGAGGGGGAGGTGTGGGGTGGAGGTGTGGGGGAGGTGTGGGGGGGTGGGGCGGTGGGGGGGTGGGGAGATGTGGGGTGTGGTGGTGGGGAGTGGGGTGTGGGGGGGTGGGAGATTGGGAGGTGGGGGAGTGTGGAGTTGGAGAGGTGGGGGAGTGTGGGGTGGGGGGGAGTGGGGAGGTGGGGGAGTGGGGAGGGGAGTGGGGAGGGGGGGGAGGTGGGGGAGTGGGGAGGTGGGGGGAGTGGGGAGGTGGGGAGGTGGGGGGAGTGGGGAGGTGGGGGAGTGGGGAGGTGGGGGAGTGGGGAGGTGGGGGAGTGGGGAGGTGGGGGGAGTGGGGAGGTGGGGGGAGTGGGGAGGTGGGGAGTGGGGAGGTGGGGGAGTGGGGGAGGTGGGGAGGTGGGGGGAGTGGGGAGGTGGGGGGAGTGGGGAGGTGGGGGGAGTGGGGAGGTGGGGGTGGGGGGAGTGGGGAGGTGGGGGGAGTGGGGAGGTGGGGGGAGTGGGGAGGTGGGGGTGGGGGGAGTGGGGAGGTGGGGGGAGTGGGGGGAGTGGGGAGGTGGGGGGGAGTGGGGAGGTGGGGGGTGGGGGGGGTGGGGGGGAGTGGGGGAGGATGGGAACACAGTGATTTTTTTGCAGATCGTTACATTTCCTCCGAGAGAGAGAGAGAGTCCTGAGATACCGTTTGATCTGTCACTCGCGATTTTATATATATATATATATTACAAACTTCTTGGGATAATCGTCAACTCCCATCTCTCTCTCTCTCACACACACACCCACACCTTATAGCAACATTTTGCTGTCAAACTCGGATCACTGAGACAGACAGACAGACAGACAGACAGACAGACAGAAAGAAAGAGGAGAATTGGGTTCACATTAAGATTTTCGTTGACATTAATCTGAACAGCATGAATTGGGAATAAATCTCTCAAATAAACCCCCAAGATCTATCCAGAGGGAGAGAGAGAGAGAGAAAAGGGAAGTGTTTTCACTTTTTTATATATATATAGGATTGATGCATTGATAATAAGATGTCTAACATGTTTATTTGTTATATATATATATTTATGTATACAGGGAAAAACCACAGCACGTGAAACTTTTTGCGTCTGACTACTGGTTTGGTAATAAGATCGTTTAGGTTTTAAATTAAAATAATGTTTTCATACAGGGGAAGATCACAAGACGTGAAAGAAGGAACAGGATGAGAAGCAGCGGAGTCGGGGATTTGCTGTGAGTGTGTGTGTGAGGGTGTGTTTGTTCGTGAGGAAGTTTTTTTGGGGGGGTCAAGACGAAACAGAACTATTCCAGTGAAACCCCAAAACAGGCAAAAACAAACAGCTAACAAGCAAGCGAGAAAGGCAAAGCCAAGGCGACTTGTCAAGGCGAGATCATTATTTCTTGGTCAAATAAAACGACAGCAAATAACAACAAGCTGGGCAAAGTGATAAATAATAATAAATAATAATAAAGGCAAATACAACATCAAAGAGAGAGAGAAAAGCAGGATCGGAGTCTGTCTGGGGAGAAATCAGCTTTTGCAACAAACCCCCTCCACCCCCCCTCCCCACACACACACACACACACAAAGACCAAAAGATGTCTTCAAGTCTGACTTGCGTTGGGATGCTGTGGGCGATGCTCTCTCTGCTCTGTGCCGCCGCCTCCTGCACCGGCTTCTTCATGCCTTACTGGCTGCTGGGCTCCCAGCTGGACAAGCCCGTCAGCTTCGGCATCTTCCGAAGGTGCACCTACCCGGTGCGGGAGGAGAGCCGCCTGCAGTCGGTGGTGATGGTGGAGCAGTGCGGCAGATATGCCTCCTTCCTGGGCATCCCCAGCCTGGCTTGGAAGATCTGCTCGGTGGTGACCGGCGTGGGATGTGGTCTGCTCCTCCTGGTGGCACTCACCGCACTCATGGCTTGTTGTGTCTCAGAGCTCATCTCCCGCACGGTGGGCAGAGTGGCAGGAGGCATCCAGTTTGTGGGAGGTAAGTCATCCAGCCATCCCTCTTGTTTGGTCACAGTGTATTTTTTTTTAACGACCTCATCATTAGAAATAACAGAATATTAATAATAATAATAATGATCATCCTTGCGGTTGATACAGCGCCTTATCAGTTTGTCTCAAAGCATTTATTTTGTTGGCCAATCAAAGAGTTTGTCTAATGGGAAGTTTGAACCTTTACATGAGTCCATACCATAAGTGAGCAACAGAAAAAATCACTCTTGAGCCTAATGTCTGACTGTTTCCAGAAACGTTATAAATAGAACATTTTCAATGCATTAAAGTTGTCCGGGGCTGCAATGTACTGTTGTAAATTCAGTAATTTGGTTTTATTTCAACTAAGGGTACGTCCAACGATTCTCAGTCCCTTCCTCCATTCGGGGTGTAGTGGCTGAAAGTCTTAACTGCCACGCCACATCATGAATCCCAGTGATAGCTCTGATCAAACAAGCTGAAAGGAGGATGGAAGCAATAAAGTGGGTTGATTCCACGGTACCTGTTACAAAACATAATATCAACACACATTGGAGTGATTTCCAGGCGGTTATCACATTCATCTCAGGATTTAGGAGACAGTAACAAACCACTGAATGTCTCAGTTTACTAAGTTGAATTTTGAGGGGTGAGATCATTGTTCATTGATGCCATCATTCTTTTGTACATGATGTAAATGGAATCCAGTTGCTATTTATGCCAGTAAAAACAAAAGGATCCCGCTATTGAGACTGTGGATGGATAGAATCAATCAGAAAGGATCATGATAAACACCCGAGGAGAGAAAAATATTAAGGGATGGGGTGAAAGAATTGGAAAATTGAATTTTTTAAAAAGAACTGAATTCAAGAAACAATAGATAGGAGTGGAACAGACATAATGGGTTCAATGACTTCCCTACTTGATGAAAATATCGTGTTTCTAAGATCCTCCTTCAGGTAATTGTAATACTCTTGTAAAACGTAAGTGGTTAAAGACAGCAATGCAAGTAATACATCTAAAGTACAGAGGAATTACTTACAGTAACAATCCTTTCCACCTGCGTTTGGCGAATGATGAGAACTGAATTTAATACCTTTTGGTCTTTATATGTGGGGCTCTTCTACCTTGGTTTGTGTTTTAAGGAGGTACAGTGATTAATTGTGCAGAATTGAATTGCATAACTCACTCTGGTGAGTCCAAAGTCTCAAATTTTCTCTTCCCATTTCCAATGCAAAATTGCTGAATGAACCATTTATTTGCGTGCAGTATTTTTGGCCCTTAGTTTGAACTCACTTCAATATCTGTCTGTGGTTCAGGTAGTAACTTAACTAGCAAGACAGGGATCAGAAATTTCACAAAAGTAATATGGAATAAAGAAGGCCAGTTCAACCTCATCCTTCAAGAATACCTGTCGCCCCCTCAAGCTGTTTCCAGTCAAACTTGGAGTACTGAAGTGTATTGGTTAGAGCACTCGCCTTGCAAGCAAGAGGACCCCTGTTTGATTCCCGGGAAGGGGGAAACCTTAGGCAAGTTTCCTTACTCCACACACCTCTGTTTACCAAGCAGTAAGTAGGAAACCGATTGTTAGTCGATTAGCAGATCGCTTTCCGGGGGGGGGGTAATGTCTCCAAAAAAAATTGGTCAGCCTTTCTGTCCCCACCCTCTGGAGCTCCATCCACGAGTCTCACTGCCTCGTCCCTTCCCTCACCTCTTTCAAGGTCCATCTTGAGACCTTCCTCTTTGTCGGTGCCTTTGTTCATTTCTCCCACCACGCCGCCCTTCACTCCCTTTGGGCCTCACCTCCTTCTCCAAATCCAACGCTCAGCTTGGGTGCAAACCTTCAACTGTCCAGTCCCTTGGGATGTGCTTCTGACATGAAAGCTGCTGTATAAATACAGTGTGTTGTTGTTATTGACAAGATTTCAGAATATACTATCTTAAGGAGAGAAGTTGAGTATTTATCTTCATTTGTGGAGTACGACAGAGCCTGAGATGATAGACTGAGCCGTATTATAGAACTCCAAAGTTGTCAGTACTGTGGATCTGCCCCCTTTACACTGAGACAAAATCTAAAGACATGCTTGCATTTGTGTGAACTCACTCGTGCACAATTGTTTCAAAGTCATAAAATCTCAACTTTAGCTTTTGCCCACTGTGACTTTGCATCGCTCATCTGCACTGGTGGACCAAGAACTCAGAACATACACGACAGCTGTGGCTGCAGGAGACAGCCTCCAGTATTGCTGGTTCTGAGTCCATGCAGCCAGTGCCTCTGGAGGCCCTACAATATAAACGAGGCACAAATTAGTGAGAGGATCAAAGCACTTCATTGCCTTAGTACTTTGCACTGTTTTCTTTCCAACCCTTTGAAAAGATCAACCACTCCCAACAATCATGTTATTTTTGTGCATGATTGTGATCGGAGACTGGTGGTCTATTTGTTATAATGGAGATTGATTGCCTAATTGCATAACATGCTTTAATTGTATAAAAGTCCTACAAGAAGGGGGGAGCTATTAGATTAAATGAATTGTTCACCTCTTGTGCTGGCTGATGAATTACTGTGATTCAAGTCAGACTTGTTTTTATTAATCTGATATGATTCACATGCATCTCAGGGTCAAATATACTGAGAGAGAAATGTGTTTGCATTTCAGAATTTGTATTGTTTCCTTGGGACAAAGGGTATAATGTTGCTGTATATGTACAGTAGCATAGAAAAGTCTTGTAGCGTATCGGTTAGAGTACTCACCTTGCAAACGAGAGGACCCAGGTTCAATTCCCAGTGAAGGGGTGTAACTTAGGTAAGTTTCCTTACTCCACATGCCTCTGTTTACCCTAGCAGTAGTAGGAACCTGGTTGTTAGTTGATTGGTGGATTGTTTTCTGGGGGTGATAATCCCTTCAAAAACATTTGGTCACTCAATCCACGACTACTTATGGGATACTGCTGTTTGCAGTTGGCTGCCATGTTTCACCACAAAATATACAGTTAATTCACTTCACTTTACAGCATATTCTGTGAAGTGCTTTGAGATGTTTCAACAATATGATAAGGTGATATATCAAATGCAAGGATTGTTATAAATTGGAGGCAAGCAATCCTTGTTTCTAGTACTGCATAGACTACTTTTACAAGTGAATTTAAGCAGACACTGAATTTGTTGCTAAGGGAGAGTATTGATGAAATTTGCATTTTTAAATAAAAATGTATCTCGGAGATCTGACGTTTCTTATTTACTCTTTGTCTCTGGGTCACTAGGTTTTAAGTTCAAGCCTTGTGTCAGGACTTTAGGCTGACTGACATGGGGGTGGGGAGGAGGAATCTTGGCTGACTGATATGGATGGATGATCAGGGAAGGGGAGAGACATACTGCAGCGTTGGAGGTTCTTTAAGATGGACTTTAGAGATCTCGGACGATTAGAGAAGGGAATTCTTCCCAATATCCTGGCCAGCTATTCTCATTATTAATTAGTCATTCACCTGGTGGCTATTTGTGGCACCCTTCATGGTGCAACTGGCTGTCTTGTTTTCCTTCTAATACCGTCACTACACTGGACACTTGTTGCCTGTGAAATGTTTGGAGGCGGGTTGATGTGATAAGGTGCTATAAAAATGCAAGTGGAATTATTTGTGAAGGTCTTGGAGATGTTTTGTTTTTATTGGAGCTATACCAAATGCAAGGGTTATCATTTATTATTAAATCAGATGCAAAGATTCTTCTACTTATTGTTATGCAGTAATATGTTCTTTCCTTTTATGAGAGGACTAGATTGTGATGACGAGTGGATGAGCTGGACTCATTCTAATGCTGTCCTAGCTCTGCTCAGTTTTCAGTAATGTTACTGTTATTTTCCCAGGTTTCCAAAGCTTTCATTCTGTTGGTAGACAAATCCATATAGAATCAATTGCTATCAACATCTCCATTATTATAGTATGTGACGACCAGGATAGTAGAAGGCAGACTAGATGGGCATTGGTATTTTTTCGTCTAGTAATTAGTATGCTTGTACTATCCCCTAACTTGAAACCTACTCCAAATGTCTCCTTGTTAAAATGCATTCTACATAGATGGGTTTTACATTATAAAAACATAATAGCGTAATGCTCAATGACACCATTATATTGGGGGCACTCAGCAAAATGTTTTACTGTATGGTAAGCGTGCCTGGCTTCTGACCTGGTGGGTGGATGAATGAAACGCTGCCTGAAATAAATGTAATGCTGGAGCAAGGTTTATACTTCATGGTGATTGTAGGATTATTTTTCTTTAATAAACATATGCTCATAATATCAATAGTTGAATGGCAAAAACTTTTGGTTATGCACAGAATTTTAACACATCATTTCTCTCCCACCAAATGTATCTGTCCATTTTCTACCTTCATTTTCCTCCCCTCCCAAAGGTGGTTGACCTCTTTTCCTTCTTCTGGGGTTGCTTCCAAGTGAAGTGGAGGGAGTGACCGGGTATGTAGAATTTCTGTAGAAATCACAAAGATGGGATGGGGCAAGACCATGGTGAGGTTTCAAGTTTAGGGTGAGAATCTTGAACTCAATTTGTTGGGGGATGGGGAGCCAGTGGAGACTGGCGAGGAGGGGGTGATAGCCTAGTGTTGGAGAATCTAGGATTTTTTTGAGCTGTATGATTAACAGAGCCATTGGGAGAAACCCCAAAATAAACAAGAGTTTCTGCCACTCTAGGTCCAATAGACCTGGGCAGCGACACAGCCCGTTAAATTCACTCTGACAAATCCAATTTGTCATGTGCGCTTAAGGCACACATGAGGACCACGGTGGTTTCAGTGGAGGTTTTTCTTTTTCATTCACGCTCACATCCAACTTTCTACAAAGAGGATTAATAACAATAGATGATGCTTATTGTTTATGTTGCCATTTCCGCTACAGCTGCTACAGTAAGTTCTGCGGGCCAGGCATGTGATCTTACTGCACGTTTTTACAGCAGTTCAAAGCAACAAGCAAACTTTGTTGGGTTGACGAATGAGCAGT